TGCAGGCAAGGGTGTGGGGGCGCTGGGGGCGCGCGCGCGCGCAATGATCTGCGTGCACTCGTCAATGACTGTCTGGATGCGCAGCACCGAGGCGGCGGTGAGCACCTGCAGCGCCTCGCCCTGTGCCACCACTAGTGAGCCACTATAGAGGAACTCTACGAGCTGGCGCACCGTTTGCGCGGGCACCACTGGCGGCACCCGGATCTCCGAGTGACCGAGCAGCAGCTTATCCTGGAAGAAGGGCGAGCCTGCGGCTAACACGCAGCGGTGCGCGCGTAGCGAGGCCTCACGGATGCGCACGGTCACGTCGCAGAAGTGCCCGCCCAGCCTCTGCCCGTTAAGGGTCTCCAGCAGCGAGCGCGAGAAGTTCTGCAGGTGGATGTGGTGCACCGCCTCGGCCGCCGCCATCTACGGGAATGGGGGGAGATCAGCCAAGGGTTCGCCCACCCTGCCCCTCATCACAGAACAGGCCCTCGGGTGCGCTGCCCGAGTCCGTATCAACAGCATCCTTTATCGGCAGCCCTGCACATTCCATCTCCAATGCACAGGATAGCCAAGAGTCCTCCATGGCCCCGCACCAGATCCACTGTCCCCCTTAGCCCCCTCCCTGGCGCAACCCTACCCCCATTCCATAACCTTGCGCTACTCCATGTTTCTTTCTCCAGGGAGAATCTTGTAGGGAAGAGGCGGGACCTCACGCACAACCCGAGTCTCTACCTCACTCAGGAGACCTTTCTACAGATAATCGTGTCTCCAGTCTCTATTCAGCTAGCTTTGACTCACACACAACTCCTTTTTCTTTATTTCGGTCTCCAATCACCACACTTCTCAACCTTAGTCCAAAGCTAACTTCCCGCAGACCCAGGGTACTATCTCAGAATCCGGTTACTTTAACTAGTAGATATACTGAGGTCTTCACAAGGGTGTGCTGGTGGTGGCGTGGGGGTCGGTGGCCATCTTTGGGTACAGTGATCCGGGGGTGTGCCTGGTCACAGACAGCTGAAGGTATATGCCTGGGGAAGAGTTGGCTGCTATCCCAAAGAGGTAGGTGTTGGCCCAAGGAAAGATCCACAGCCCAGCTCTTCCTGGTATCTCTGTGGAGCCTGGAGAGGGGGCATGTTGACCCCAGTATTGGGGTAAGTGAGGGAGTTGCAACTCAGGAGTGGATGAGCTTTCCTTTGTACTTCTGTGACCCCTGGACAGGAAGCACAACCCCAGGGGCCTCCAGGAACCCGAGAGGCTCTACGTCAACCACCAAGCAGATGACTGTGCTAGCTGGGCCTCAGGTTTCCACCCCTATCAAACAAGGAGGGTATACTGAGCTTATCCTACCTGCACATACCTCCGGTCTAAGGCAGAGTCAGACACAGGTCGCGCCCCAGACCTATCAACGCTCCCCAGCCTATCCCTCTAGGCCACAGACCCAGAGTGGGGGCCCCACTTAATCCTACCCCTATTTTATTTGGGTCCACTGGGGTCTCTGCCTTGGCTGCACTCCAGTCAGGTCCTCCCTTTCACATGACCCCGCCCTGGACCCCAGTCCTGGACTGGCCTCGGCTGGTGCGGTTCCTCATCTGCCACCCCTCGACCATAGCTAGACCCCCTCCTATTTCAGAGCTCTCGAGGGCCCGAGCGAATTCCTCCGAGGCACCGTGCCTTTGCACGGCGCGAACCTCTGAAGCCGCCGCAGGACCAGGCCCTTCCTTCCCGACCCGCCTGCCCATTCCGCGGTCTCCTCGCCACAAAGGCCCCCTGGAGCCTCCTGGATCTGGGGCTGCGC